GGGTGGATGAGGGCCGCGTGCGTGGTGTAGTTCTAAAGCCCGAGGCTGATGGCTTGCTTGTTGAATTTGAGCTGAGGCGCCCGGCGTCGCTGACGGAGCAGGATGGTACAGCGGCGATGGATGTATGCAAATACAAGGCTGTTTGGGCAGTGTATCAGGAGGTGCTTCTTGGCATGGAGGAGAAGGTCGTGACCACGCACAAGCTTGGGTTCGAGGGCGAGGACTGGGACTACGTGCTGGAGCGGCGGGACGCGGAGGTGAAGGAGGCGGCGGCCATCGAGACGGCGCGGGCGCTCGGAGTGGGGCGCGAGGACGTGGTGGAGGTAGGCTTGACGTTGTGCCGCAGAGCCTCGTCGTGTTCGTCACGGTACGTCACTCGTCAAAGCTGAGCGACAGCCAGGTGGACGGGATGCTGGCGCAGTGCCAGTACAAGACACTGTGGGCACTGTACGACACGCGGCCGTTGGATTGTTTAGTTGGTTTGAACGGAAAACTGTTTGCTGCTGAGGAAGTAGAAGTGGAGTTGGATTCGGCAACGTATTTACGTAATGCTCTTTGTTGCGCGAGACGTGAGCGGGATGAGTATATGGATCGGCTTGACCCGTTGTGTTAGTTTATGTAGTGGAGTGAAGAGGACGTGAAAGATTTTTTTTTTTTTGTGTGTGATGGGCCCATATTTTTTTTTTTTTTTTTTGCTTCATTGGACGTTACTTTGCAGTTTTTTTAATGAAATGTTGGTGGGATGATTCCCCCGTTGAGTATTTTGTTTTTGTTTTTGTCGTTGTGGTTTTTTGTGAGTGTGCGTGTGTCCGCGGCTCTGTGGTGTTGGTGGGAGGGGCTTGCTGTTGTTGTTCGCTTTTACTTTCACACAGTTTTCTTTTTTCGCTGCCTTTTTTTTTTTGCGTGTATGCGGGTGTGGGGAAAAACTGCCCGCTGGGCAGAAGTGTAAGCAAATCAGCACAACAGTGACGGCTCCACACCCATACAAAAGGCGTAGAAACGGGCGTAGCAACTGGTAAGAAGGTGAGGGAGTGCAACGGCAGAAGCAGGGAAGCGAAAGGAAAAGGCGTAAAAACATCAACTTAAGGGAAAAAAGATGGCGACTGCAAATACAGAACCGACGATGGAGTTGGATGACTTTGTCTGCTTTGAGCGTGTCGGCGCCGACTTGGAGTGGAACAACACCATTGGGAAGGTGATTGGCTTCCCCACACCGAGCCGTGTGCGGGTGGAGTTCTTCGACCGCAGCGAGCACACGCCCCAGTCCTCGGCTCTCATGGACGAAAAGCTGCAGGAGATGGCCACAAAAACCGGCAGGCTGGCCCTCTGGGAGAAAAAACTGGAGTTGGACCACCAGCTCCAGCAGGCGTTGGAGGAGGAGGACAGGGTGTCCGAGAGACTATTTGCGATGCGGGAGGCCACGCATCAGCATCAGGCAGCGGCGTCAAACCACACGCGGGAAACGATGATGGCGCTTGACGCGACACGGGACGCGATTACTCGCGTCCCACCGCGGCAGTGGCGTGAAATGCGTGCTCCCGGTCGCCCGATGGACTCTCTCGTGTCCCTGGGCCGTGCCATCATGTTGGTGCTACGGGAGGATCGCGCCAAGAGCTGGGAGGTGATGCAGGACGTGATGCGGCAGCCGGACTTCATGGATCGTCTCATGGGCGTTGATTGCAGCGTCACCCCGTTGCCAAAGGCATGCCGGAAGAAGATTATGAAGGAAATTGGGGCTTTCCGGCCTGATCTGCGGGGCAGCAGCATTGGCGCCGTTTCTGCACACCGCGAAAGGTCACAACAATCGCAGCGCCAGGCGGAAGCCAAAAACGGAACACAGCTTGAGGCGGCTGTGCTGGATTGGTTACTGGCGCAGGTCACCTGTTCGGATGCACGCGAGGCGGAGGAACGCATTGTGGATGAATTCTTTGAGGAGCATCAGGAACAAGCAAGACTTCTGCAAGAGGTCAATAGCATGCGTGAAAACATCTCTGCTATACAGGAAAAACTGCTGGAGAAGAAGCTTGCCATCTGCGGCGGCACACCACTGGCCACCTTACTACTAAAGGATGCCGCGGCCTCCAACGACTCGGTTTTCTACAAGCGCATGGCTAACGGCCGTGCGGTGACGGAGTTGCTTTTACGCAGCAGCGTCTTGCTTGTCCTTGGAGCCAAGGCTGAGGAGCACGAGGAGAACGACGACAGCGCCGTGTTTGTGCGTCTCACACCGGAGGAGATTGCACAGCTGCGGGACGTTGTGCGTCGCGCAAACGACGTGCACGACTTGGAGGAGCTGGAGGCGCTCTACCTCCTGAGCGAGAGGGAGGAGGAGGACATACGCGAGTTGCGGGCCAGCATGGAGGAGCTGCGTTGCAAGGATGAGTTCACCGAGGAAGACGAGGAGGAGATGCGGCAACTTGACGCTGCCCTCACGCATGCACTGCGACACCACGAGATGACGCAGTGGCGCATTCGCCAGCTTGAGGCTCAGGGACGCGACAAACTCTTCCTGGAGAACCGCCGGGCGAAGGACCTGGTGCACTCGGAGCTGCATCTCACCTTTTCCGGAGACGCGTGGGGAACCCTCCTTGACAGCGCGGAACACCGTGCGAAGATGGAGGAGGCGCTTTGCAAGGATCTCTCCTGCGCCCTGGGGCTGCCTACGGAGAACATGAGTAACTTTTACTTCACCATTGCGCCGCTGCGAGTGACTTTCACCGTGAGGCACGGCCGCGACGTGACGGCGGAACAGTTGCAAGCTCTTGCAGAGGAAGCGGACTTTGAAGAGTTCCTCAGGTACTACGAAAGTGTGACGGCAGAGAGGTCCTACCCACTCAACACGTTGTCGCAGAGGTTGGCGTACGAAGAGGTGGTGCGTAGGGCTCGCCTTGCCGAGAACTTCGCAGGTGCCGGCTTGCTGGAGAAACTCGAGGACTTTGCTGACGACAGTGAAGAGGGTGAAACCGACGATGAGAACTACCGACGCCCAAAAGTGGAGATTGCAACAGTACGCAACGAATATGGTCCCGAGGCGCGCTACGGCTATCCTATTCTTCAACACTTGGGAGTCCCTGCCGGGTTCGAGACCCTGCTGGAGGCAAGTAGGTTGCAAATAACGGAACAGGCTGAGGCAGAAGAAGCAGCAGAGGCGGCGGCGAAAGCACACGAAGATGCACAACATGAACTGG